GGTATTCCTTGAATTTGACCTCCCCTAAGGTCATCTGTTGGGCCAGGAGGGCAGGAAGGAGAGGAAAGAAAGGAAGGTGAGAGAGAGACCGCAGGAAGCTAGCAAAGGCTTCATTTCCAGCCCAGTGACCTCTGGACTCTGGGTGGAGAGGCTGGGGTCCCTCTGTTAAAGGGGTGACCGGCTGGCTGGCTCCGCTAGTACCAGGCCCAGGCCCAGACCCAGCGGCATTGGGGAGGGGCTGGAGCCTCGAGGGTGCGGCGTGGCGGCGGCGCTCTCTAGGACCCAGCGACTCCGGGCTAGGGGCGGGCGTGGGCCTTGGGGGCCCGTAGGGGGGCTCAGGCTGCGGGCGAGCACTCTCAGCCGAGCTAGAGCACGGCACAGGGGCCCCAACAGGTAGGCGCGGGCTGGGCGCGCCCAGGGGTGTCGGGGACACTGCATTCCTGGTTGGGGGGGATTGTGGAGCCCCTGGCTCTGGGGTTTGGAGCGGATGCTGAGGGGGCACCTGGCAAGTGGTGGGGTGCAATATAGGACAGGCGAGGGGGCTGGGGTTCAGGGGTCATCAGAGATGGGGGTGCTGGGGACAGGGCGGCTGTCCCCCCAGCATTTGGGATGTGGAGGGCGGGGCAGGGGTCGGACACAGAGACAAAGAGAGACGGAGGTGGAGAGCCAGCGAGTTTCCGCCGGCTGATTGTTCCCAGCTGCAGAGCGGGGCTGCAGCATCTGGCCAGGGCCCCCTTCGGACCGGAGCCAGCGAGGGGGCTCCCAGTCCTTGTCCCCCCCAGAACCACAGAGGCGCCTAGGGGCTGGGGGAGGCCGAAGTTGTGGAAAGGGCCAGAGGTAGGGGTGGATCAGCCATCCCGACAGCTCCTGGCCTCCTTAATGCCTCCCAAACTTAAGTTTTGAAGAGCTTGCCTGGGTCCCCTAGGAGCAATCTATTACTCTCTTCTTCGTGCCGGGGCTAGCCAATGAGCCCCATTCCCTGCCATAAACCTGGGCCTGAGTGCGGGAGTGAGGTTCCGACACATATTGGCAGCCACACGATGCCTCCTAATGCACGGAAACTCGGATCAATCATCAGTCTGTTTGGAGCTGGGTGCCCCCCTACCACAGGCTGCCCAGAATTCAAAGAGTGGGAATATGAGGAGACTGTTGCTATGGGACAGAATATAAACTAGCAAGGGCCTCTGGTCCCCACTAGGGGACGACGCTTGAGTGAGATGTCTGAGATGGGCAAGGTATCAGGAAACCTCAGGGTTGGGGAAACTGAGGTTAGATACCCTGTTTCTGCCTTTCCCTTGATCTTTCCTCAGTTCCCCAGGCAGTCCTACATCAGAGTTGGGGTTCAAGGTGTGTGGAAGAACTTCCCAGGGTAGGGTAGGCAGCCCTCTGGATGGATGAGCCTGAGAGAGCTCATGGCCTGCTGACTAGCCAGTACTGAAGGCTGGACTCACCCAGGAGTTCCTGGGCATTAGGAACCTTGTGCAAGACCTGGACCAGTGCCCTCACCAAAACTACACTCTTATCATCCAGGGTCACGTCGAGGGTTCTGAATCCCTGGGCCAAGTGACTTTGCCTCACCCAGTTAGCATGCTGGGAGCCAGAGGTGCCTTCACTTCCTCCCCATGTTTCCTAGTGCCTCGGACAAACAGGCCTCAGTCTTGTCTCGTGTGTGCGTGCGTCTGTAATGAAGACAGCCAGGTCTTGGGAGGCCTGGAGCTGGCAGACGACTTCTTGGAGCTGGGAGTCCCGCCCAGCCCTGGCCGCTCTAAGGGCTCCTGGGGCCTCTATGCATGTGGCTCTCCTGCTGAGCAGCATGCTCAGGGCCCAGGGGCTAATTGGGAGCAGGTGGCAGGCCTGGCAAATGCTGTTGAGCTAATGGCTGTCTGTGGTGGTGGTTGGGCAGGGCTGGTACCCAAAGGATGTTCCTGAGGTCACTGGAATTCACACGGTAGATCAGAAACTCAGGGATGGGATGGGCCAGAAGTGGGCACAGTCACGGTGGGACTGTTAGAGGTGTCTCCTTAGTGAGCAGGACAAGGTAGTGTCTGTCCATTTGTTAAGAGCTGCCACCCAGTCTTTAAAAAACCCAAAGTCAGCCCTGGAACCTGCTTTGAAGCCTTCACCCTCGCCCAAGCAGGGACTGTAGATGCCCCTCCACACCTCCAGGTGCCTGGCTCTGTCTGCCCCCCGCAGACTGACCCAGGGACAGAACTGTTCTCTGCCACCCTGCACTAGCTGGCTGGCATGCAGCTAGCTCTACCTTCCTCCCCCTCTAGCTGTCCTCACCGCCACCACAGCCTCCTCACTCCATGGCCATGAGAGCTGCCTGCCTCTTCCTGCTGGTCCTGCCTGGTAAGCAGCTGCTGGTGTGGGGGCTCCCATGGGGGGGTTGTCTTAGCTTATGGCCAGAACTCTCCCGCCCTGCTTCAGGCTTGCACCACACAGTAGAGGAGCCTGAAGGCTGGGAGTCCAGGCACTGGTGCTAGAGCTGTAGGCTCTACTGCTGTGTACAGTCTTGGCCTTTGAGAGGCACTTGTCTATCACATAAAGAGGTGTCAGTGAGGACCGCAAAGGTCCCAGCAGTCACTCATCCCAGGAGTCACACATCCATTCACTGAACTTGTCTAGGCGTACATCTACTGTAAGCTAAGCAGCTAAGCACTGGAGAAACAGCTGTGAGTTAGGCAGACACACCCGGCCTCCACCATGTGGCCAGGCCAGGGAAGAGGCACGGAGACCTCTTGGACAAGAAGATCTGGTAAATTTCAGATCGTGTTGAGTGCTATGATAGAAATGCACAGTGGGGAAGGTGGGTGGGGATAAGCCCAGCGGAGCTGAAATGTTAGTTGAGACCTGCAGTAGCCCTGGGGAGAGTGGGAAGTCTCCGAAGCAGGCGGGAGCCAGGAGTAGGAGAATTCCTGGAGCAGCCTCAAGGCCACCCAGGGCAGAGGGGCTAGGCGAGGGCAGGGGCAGGAAACTGACCCAGGACCCAGTTTGGATTTTGTGGAATCTGAGCCTGGCTGTAGGTCCCTGGCTTAGGACTGCCACCTGTTTTCTCTTTGCCCTTCCTCTGTGGGATGCCTACACCTGACTCCTCCCTCCCCTCAGCAGGCCTGCTTGCTCAGGGCCAGTATGACCTGGATCCTCTCCCCCCATTCCCGGACCATGTCCAGTACAACCACTACGGTGACCAGATTGGTAAGTCAGTCCTCAAAGCGTCCTCAGTGCTGCCACAACATATACATGGATCATCCAGGCACCCATTTCAGCGGGGTGGCAGGAATCCCAGGGGTAGGTCCCCAGGCTCATTTGTGACCCCTTTGCGCCACTCTCCTGGGACCAAGGGCTAGCCTGACCCCACCCATTATGTTTCCTTTCAGACAATGTAGACAACTACTATGACTACCAAGGTAAAAGTCTGGGATAGGATGGGCAGGGCCAGCATCCTGGTGGGGGTCTGTGGGGAAAGTGAGCCTTGTCAATCACACCACCACCACAGAAGTGAGTCCTCGACCTCCTGAGGAACAGTTCCAGTCCCAGCAGCAAGTCCCACAGGAAGTCATCCCAGCCCCCACCCCAGGTAATGCTGTCCCTCTTGCCCAAGCTCCTTGTGTGCCTCAGGATGGGGGTCTGAGTCAGCCTTGAGACAGCTGTGCCCCTTGCCCTGAATACCTCCCAGTGACCCCTGGCTGTCTTCCCACACTAGAACCACCCATTCCAGGGGACCTGGAGACTGAACCCACGGAGCCCGGGCCTCTTGGTAAGAACCTCCTGGAAGCTGGAGAAAACCGGCATGGCTTCAGAAAGAGAGGGCCTTTTGGTGGGATAAGCAAGGTTAACGCTCCATAGGGTGCTAGTTGAGGGAGCTGACAGACGTCCCTGGGCAGCTGAGGTACCTACACTACAGAGGGGCCTAGGGAGGGGCCAGCACTGTGCTGGGGCCACAGCCTGGGTGGTACCCATGGCCAGGTGAAGAGGAACCAGCAAGCCCAGTCCAGCTGAGTGCCACCCAGCCAAGAGCCTGAGAGGAGGGGCCTGGAGAACCCAGCCTGTGTGTGTTGGGTTGGTTACACAGTGGGTTACAGAGCAGCTTGTGAGCTAGTGTCATGTCCCAGTGACCAAGTGGGGTAGTTGTGAGTTTGTATTCCAATTTATGTTTCCAAATGGGTTGTGACTTTATGTGTGGTATAAAGTTGGGCAGTCCTGTGCTACCTGGGTGCTTAGGAACCCAGACTTGTGAGCCTGCCACTTGAGCTCTGAGCTTCCAGTCTGATCCCACTGTCCCTAGACTGCCGCGAGGAACAGTACCCATGCACTCGCCTCTACTCTATCCACAAGCCTTGTAAGCAGTGTCTCAATGAGGTCTGCTTCTACAGGTGAGGGCTGAGGGTCACGAGGGAGGGACTCAGGGGCAGCTCCCACCAGTGAAGGTGTGAGTTGGGACAGACACTGAAGAGGGTGGGCCTGGGCCTGGACTCTTGGGCTTTCCCAACGGGGGTAGGTGAGGGTATGGCTGAGAGTGTCCCTGGCTCACCCCCAGCCTTCGCCGGGTGTATGTCGTCAACAAGGAAATATGTGTCCGTACTGTCTGTGCCCATGAGGAGCTCCTCCGAGGTAGGGAAACCTCCACCCCTTGTCCTGGCAGCATCTACCACCCCACGTCATTATCTTCCCACGTGCCACCTGCAAGGTTTGCCATGGACTTTGTGCCCTGGCCCACTTGTAGGATGCTGCAAGCCCCCATCTCCATCCTCATTAGTATGGGGTGGCGGGTTCCCACCTGACTTCCCCTCCCTCCAACAGCTGACCTGTGCCGGGACAAGTTCTCCAAGTGTGGCGTGATGGCCGTCAGTGGCCTGTGCCAATCTGTGGCTGCCTCCTGTGCCAGGAGCTGTGGGGGCTGCTAGGGTGGAGCTGGTGTGGAATCCGAGTCGGACCCAGCTCGGATCCACCTCAGGCCCCACCTGACCTGGTGCTTTCCCCTATCCTGCCCTCCCTTTCGTCCTGGATGTCAGGGGGCTGCTACCCTGGGGAGTGAAGCCACAGCTGCCTTGGGCCCCTCCCCAGCCTGTGGCCATCCCCGAGCAGTTGGGCTCCTGACTGTCCAGTCTCCACCCCCTAGATGGGGTTCATCCAAGTCCTCTTTGGGGGGTCTGGGGCTTTCAATGTGCCTTCTCAGTGCCTTGGGGGCATCCCTCCCTTTTCAGTCTCCTCAGGTAGGCTGTGCCCTCACCCAGCTGGTCTGCTTGGATTTCCTATGCCCCCAGACATGGGCCATCTTTCTTTTATACAAAATAATAAAGTTTTTACAAAAGATGCAGAGTCACTTTTGGGGCCAGGGACAACTCAAGTGCCACCAATACTGCTGGTCCCCAACAACAGGCAACTCAGCTCCATAGAAGGGGGGTGTCAGGTGGCTCTGCTGCTGTATCCCACCCCTACCTACTCTAGCCCTAGCTTCATCTGTGACCCACCAGAGGAAAGAAGGGGCCCTGACACTCCCTCCCAAGATGCAACTCTTCATGTGCGTGCAGAAACAGGCAGGTCATTTTGGTTCTTCTGTGTGAACAGCACGGAGGAGAGCTGTGCAGTACTCCCCATGCAGTTATGGCTAGTGCTCCCCATGCTGTCCTAGTTAGTTCTCCTGACACAGTGGGTAAAATCATTGTCCTCAAATGGCAGTGTTAAGTGATCACCCAGACACCCACAGTCTGTGCTCCCACGCACCCATCAACGCCCAGGTAGAGGAAGTGTGTGTGTACAGACGATTCTAGAAAACAGGTCATGTTACAAAAAAGCACAACAGTTCTCCACAGTTAACAGTATAAAAAGGTACAAAAATACAAGGGCTCTAATCTCACTAAGGAGCCTCTGACACAAAGAGCCAAGGGAGAACTCCCTGGTGCTGCTCTGGCTCACACATTCCTTCCAGGGGAAGCCCTGCTCTGTTGCTGGCAGTAACAAGCGCTCTCCCTGACCCCTGGCTGGCTCAGGCATGAAGAGCCTTGGTCAGCAGAGGATCTTCTAGTAGAGGGGCCTGGAGTGGTATAGGTGGTATAGTAACTTTGAGAAGCCACATGGGTGTGACCACAGCCACAGTGCCACCCTCATCTGTCACCCCAGCTCCCTCCTACCACACTCTGATGTCTAGGCCCTGGGCAATCTATGTTACTAAGGGCCCCCTCTCTGGGCAATCTATGTTACTAAGGGCCCCCTCTCCTGCCAAGATGACTGTACTCAGGATGCTGGCTAGAAGGAACTCATTGCTCTGGGGTACCAGAGGGTGAGGAGATGGATGCTGAGCTCCTTCGAAGCTCCTTCTGCAGCTGTGCCTTCAGCATGGTCACCTGGAGAAGAGAAGGGCCCAGCAGCCCGGGCCACAGATGACTTCAGAAAACAGGAGCTGATGAGGGGTGGCATGCCACCTGCTGCAGGGAAGGGCTGCTGCCTAGGAGTGGGAGGGCCCCGCTTCTCATTTTGCCCCTCATGGCGGTTAGGTGTCTGTATGCTTTGGCATCCTTATCCCTTCAGAGGCTCAGCCATGGAAAGCAGCTCTGCCCAGCATCACTCCACAGAGCAAGACCCTGTGTCCTCCCAACTCTGCCCGATTACTATCTGTGAGCCCTGGCACTACCCAAGGACAGAGGGCCAGAGAGAGGCACGGATGGCCTGGCTGGGCCTGATTCCAGCAGAAGTGTTTGTATGACTAGGCTGGGCCTGTCCAAGCAGCTCAGCCTGCTCTCAGCACAGCCAGAAGGGACAAAAGTGATCTTACTGGCCAGGAAGAGTCATTTCTTGGGCTCTTACTAGTATTCCTGGGAAAGAGCCCCTTCTCCACTGGGATCCCAGGTTGCTAGAACCTATAGCTTGAGCTACTAAGGAAGAGGGTCTGATGGCTTGAGGCAGAGGATGAGCCCTAGGCCAGGAGATACTGACTCTAGGCAGTATTACTCCAGCCATAGCTGGTACCAGCACTGATCTACTTGGCCCTTTTCAAGTTATAGAGGTCATGACCAGTCCTCTCTCCAGCCCTACACTTCCATTCCAGCTCCATCTTCTCCAGGGGTGGGGGTGGGAGGCTTGTACCTGCTCCTCCAATCCCGACACTCGCTGGCGGTGGGCCCGCTCCCGTGCCTCCAGTGTGCGCTCCGTCTGCACCTGGGCACTGCGCAGGCGCTCAACCTCCTGTTGTAGCTCCAGGTGCTGCTCATCTGCCTCCAGCTGGACTGGATTGTGGTTCTGCTCCAGGGCTACCACCTGTGCCTACAAATAGGGGCTGCCAATCAGGGTTCTAACCTAATGTGCACACAGTGGCATGGGCTTATCCTTCATCTCGCTGGCCCTAACAGTGCACCGGAAGGGGCCAGGGGCCCCAGTGAAGCCCACTCAGACAGGCATGCACATACAAAAATATTCAAACACAGGGCCTGGCCTACATACATGCAGGAACAAAAGTGAGCATATTTGTACAGAAGCACACAGGGACACAAAGGCTAGCCTAACACCTTCATGTGTGGAAACATTTACATGTACTTAGGCCACAGGCTACATGAGTACAACATGAGGTTCATGCTGTACCCATGAGCAAGCTCCCACAGACACTCGGGCTTCCATACTGTCACAGCACACAGGAACCACAGGCCTGAACACCAACGAGCCAGTGTTTCTCTCCACCATAGGAAGAACCCTGCCCTACAGCCCAGTGAGGACACCCTCCCAAAGGCTCTGGCCTTCCTTGCTGGCTCAGCCATAGGTACCCCCAGGCCTTCTTGGGCTTAGTATGGGAATGGCATTGGGGACCAGGCTGACCTCCAACTGCTGGATCTGCTGTTGGGCCTCAGCCAGGTCCAGCTCAGCCCCTGTGAGTGTGCGGTCCAGGCGGCCCTTCTCAGCATCCAACCTCAGGGTGTCCTCATGGCTTCCAAGTTTCTCCCGCTCCACCTGGGCAGATACGGAGGGGAGGGGGCTCACAGGGGGCTCGCAGGAGCCCCTGCAGGATCATCTGGCATCATAAGCAGCACACTGAAGAGACACAGGAACGCTAGGGAGGCCCCAGCAGAGCAGACCACCTTATCCAGTGTCTTCCTGAGTGCCACCCGGTCCTTGTCAAGCCGCAGCGCTGACCGTTCCACACGTTTCTCAGCTTCCAGCTGAGCCAGGGCTTGCTGCAGACTGCCCAGACGCTCCTGCAACAGTCGCCGCTCTTCCTGTAGCTTCTGGACAGAGCGCAGAGCCATGGCCTCGCCTTCCTGCCGCTGTCGCAGTACCTGCAGCACAAGCCAGCGGTCCCCCTCATCCCACCGCACCTCAGGATGACCATCTGAAACTTGGGGACAAAGATGCTGGCCCACTCATGTAGTAGACAACCACAAGGCCCATGTGAGGAAACAGCTGAGGCCAAATGGTTCTCTCTGGGGCCTAACGGGAGTGTGGGTCGGATGATTCAGGTGGCAGGGTCAAGGTCTGGGGTGAAGTTGAGATGGGTTCCCCACCCCATGCCCAGGACCACACGGGGCACCCTATAGATAGAGGCCCTCCAGGCCTCACCTGCTGCAGCTGCTGCAGCTGGCCTTCGGCATCACCCCGCTGAAGCTCCACATTGGCTAGCTCGCCCCGCAAAGTCTGCACCTGCTCACCCAGGGAGCTGCTCTGCCTCCGTGCTTCAGACAATGCCTGTCTGGCAGCATCCAGCCGTTCCTGGGGGACAGAGGCTGATGGTGCCAAGCCAGACTGCCAGCTTAAGCGAAAGGCTTCCCTTTGGGTGAAACGCCTAACTGGTCTGGCCTGTTGTCAGTCCTGCCCACTGACCTGTGCTGATGGTGACAGTCACTGGGATCACAAACTACAGCTAGGTCCCATACTAACAGGTTTCTTCTCTCATTGGGCAGCATCCCCCTCTAAGCCTCATGACTGGCTACTTCTGTTGACCCTGATCCTGCCTCGAGGCCTATTCTCATTGGCTCCCCGGATTTCCTGACTGACAGCCCCATTGGCTATCAGCTCTTATTGGCAAACTCTCTGAACTCTTTCCTGATAGAAGAGAGATATGCCAGACCCTGGGGCCTCCCACTCCCAGACCTGCAGCACTTGGCGGTCATGTTCACAGGTACTCAAGGTCTTCTGCAGGTGCAGATTCTTGTCCTGGGTGCTGGTGAGGCTGGCACTGCTCTGGGCCAGGGCATCTGTCAGACTTTGCACCTTGCTCCGCAGGGCCCCTTCACTCTCCTCCACCTTGGCCAGGGCCCCATTCAGCCGGTCCACTGTTAGCTGCAAGGTCCCTGCCTTCACCTCACTGTCTGCCACCTGGCAGGGAGACAGAGGATGGTCAAGGCTTCCCTTTCCATTGCCATCTCCACCAGGAGCGCTAACCCACATTCCTCTCACCTGTCTCTGGGCCTCATCCATATCCCCACCGGCTTGTTCTTTCACTGGCTCAGCCTACTGTAGTCGGGCCTCACCCCACTGTGGGTTAACCACCCTGTCCAGAGCCCCATCAACCTAGCTATGTGACAGGCAAGGACATTGCCACTCTGGGCCTCCACCTGTCCATCTTTGAAACCTGATGGTGAAGACTTGCTTCAAAGCACTGACAGTTGCACAATGCCTGGACAGAGTCTGGCACAGGGCATGCAGGTGTGACCAGGAGGGAGAGGAGCCCACCTGTCTCTGTAAGGAGTCCACCTGATCCTGGAGGGCCTGAGCATGGGCCTCACGGTCCCCCAGACCTAGGCGGCTGCGTTGCAGCTCGCCTTCAAGAGCACGCCGCTGCAGCTCAAGCTTGATGGAGCGACTCTCAGAGGCATCCAGCACCTCCTTCAGCCGCCGCTTGTCACTCTCCAGCTTTGCCTCAGTGGCCTTCATCTTGCTGACTTTCTCCTGTAGGTAGCAAGGCTCAGCCCCAGTGCTTGCCCACCCCTCCCCTCACCCCCTCTGCACCACTGGGACAAAGCAGGGTCAGCCTCA